CGTTTTTAATGTCCCTGGTCTCTCTCTGTTTGTTCTCATTTGCTTAGTCTCAAACATTGTTTGGTTGCATCAAGGAAGTGAGGATAGAGAACAACCAAGACTCATGATCCAAAAAAAAAACATTTTGTATTGTGTCTGTGTTTTGTGTCTTGTGAAGTCAATGGATAAAACTTGTATAACTTCATGACCTTTGTTTCTTCGCTTATTTTTTTCCTTTACTTTCTCGCGAGATTCTTTCGCCTGCCAATTGTAGAATTTCCTTTATTTCTTTTTTTATATATAAAAAAATCTCGAGATTCTTTTTTATTTTTATTATTTTATTCTTTAGAACATTTAATTAGTATCACCATTAAACCTACAAAAATTACAAAATCATTAATGAATCTCAAAAATTAAAAAACTATTAAATTTAATACTAAATTAATCTTGTTGATACCCAAAGTGTATCACCAATAATGATGTTAGCCCATTAACTCATAGTTTTATACTTGGGCTTGGGGTCACTCAATATAATAAATATTTAGGAGTCATTTTAGTAAAAGAAAACATGAGTAGTCTAGTGGTTAAAAATGCAGAGTTTATAATGAATAGGAGGCAAGATCAAACCACGTTGAGTATATTTACGTTTTTTGTTGTTTTAAAAAAAATGGTTTTATAGGCCATTTTTTTTTCAGGTTTGGGGCCTTCAATATCCTAGGGCCGACTATATACATAAGAGCAAATACATTGGTTTGGTTGAGTTTCTATAGAAGGTATCTAATTAATTTAATAATAATAATTTTAATATAATCAAATTATTTAATTAAATAAGAAAAATTGAACCACTTAAAATACTACACATATGATGACAAGTTTCTAATATCCATTTCAAAGATTCTAGTTTGAGAAACTTTCCTCAGTCTCTCTCCTCTTTTTTTATTTATTTTTATTTTAACTGTTTTAATCCTAAGAAACCCTCTAAAACCCAGCAATGGACTTGCTCTAACGGTGCCCATATTGTTACACTTTTTCTAATTCTTGATCATAAACTCAATAACTTTAAAAACAATTATTTTGTTTAGTTATAAAATTCTCTCTTGTTTTCATATTTGAGAAGCGGTCACCGCTAGCTTTGGTTTTGGCCCGTGGCTCCTTCAGCACTGGTCGCCGGTCCTCTCGCCTGCCTACTTTAATCTCTCTTAGTTAAATTTATTCAAGTTATCTCTTTGTCATCGCGGTTATTTTGTCGGAATTTTAGAACTCGTGTGGTGGTCGGTGGATCTCGGTTACCTTGGTGGTCTCTTAACCGAAATGGAGGATTCGAGTCTTTTCAGGCCAACAGTGTTGCATCAGCAACAAAAAACCTTCTCTCTCGATTAACAGATCCACATCTGCAAGTGGTTTTGGTCCTCACTAGGGTTACAACTCGTCTTCTTGCCGGAGGATGTGGTTTATCCTCTTGTCATTTTGGTATGATAGGGTTTTGTCTGTCCCAAATAGAGGTATCA